TATATTAGACGCGATCATGTCAATGACCGGCCCTGCCCTCCCCCGCTCCCCCCCGCCTGGTCCAACCGCGATTCGTGCCGGCGCCGTCTGGGACTTGGCCACTCCCAGGCGGCAGCCGCGGGAATCGTGACGTGACTGGCCCCATTCCCCGCAGGGGACGCCCGTCACCCAGACATCCGATGTCTTGTTTGGGCGCCGTTTTTTGAAAGTCCGCAGGGCCCAGCTAGGGCCCAAAGAGGCCGCAAACGAGGAAAAACTTCGGCGGTGGTCTGGAAGAAGCTCTGGACTTCATGCAAGTCGAAACTCACTTGCATGCCGTTTCGACCCGGTATTGTTTCGTAAGGCGGCAAAGAGGGGGGGTGGGGGGAAGGGCAAAATCGCATGCAAATTACCTTGCTGGAACTCAATGAACAACGCACTCTGGGATCGTTTTTTCCTACCACAACCCGGGCTCTCCAATCGGATGGGGAAGTGGGGGAGATCCTGGCCGATAACCTAACAGAACAGCCCTCAATATGCCCGCGCGCACTCGTACTGCGTACCCCCTTCGGACCCGCGCAACCGACAAGGGCAGATTACCCGGAGGGGAAAGGGGGGCGGGCGGGCGGGCCCAATACCCCTGGCTATCGTCGGACCGTTAAACAAGCAGTATCCTGGGCATCGACAGGGACAAAAAAAAAAACGCGGGCATCCTTCAAGCACGTGGAGCATCTGGATGCCCGCGAGGCCCCTGCGGCCCGGCCCGCACTGAAAACCCCGAGGCGGCAAGATCGGCCCGGCGCTGCCCGCCCGCGCACCAGCCGCAGCGCCGGCAGAGCTGGGCGGAGCGGTTGAGCGGCTTCGCAGCGCCGCCTCGACCTCGGCGTCCTTACTGGGCTCGCCGCGGCGGTTGCTAAGTGGATGGGGGAGTTAAAAGCGGATGCGAAGGTCGTAATATCTGGCCCAGCTTGGCATATACATGTGTTGCAAATGCCCTAAGTGGCTTAGTCGGGTCAGCGATGCGGGCCAAGAGGGCTCCGCCCACTTCGCGGAGTTCTCTAGACCCCCTGAAATCATGGGTGACATTTGTAGTTAGCCCGCTAAGAACCAGGTTCGGCCTAATATAACCACGTTGACCTCGGTTCGTAACCCCCTTTTCACTTAGCACCCCCCGCGGTCATCCCGTAGAGTCTAGGCATCCCAAATAAGCGACGAACATACAGGGGACTTACGCGAGAAGGCATAGAGACCTTACGCGGAGGATTACGCGGGCCGCCACCGTGGCACACCGCCTGGAGAAGAGGGAGCGCGCGGGGAGCTTCCGCGCGAACGTCTGCCGACCCCGTTTGCTCCCGCCGCTTCGATGAGGTCCGACTGAAGAGGGTCGGCGGATCGCGCCGCATCGGCGACGTCGACGTGGAGAAACTCGGGCTCCACATCGAGCCGCATCGCGGATGCATCGCCGATGCGGCGCGATCGTCCGATCCCACCTACCCGGATCCCGTCTGGGAGGCCGCGTCCTCGGAGGAGGTCGCCAGTCCCTCCGTAGTAGCCGCCAGGTCCTCCCGCAAGCAGCGGATACATCCACAAAGGGCCCAGAGATCCGGGCCTTCCCACTTTATCACATTCATTCGCCTGGTCTCCGGCCCCAGGGCCCTCACAGATCGATCCGACTCGAAGAATGCCGCCGAAGGATTGAGTCTGAAGCTCCGCTCTCCGGTCGAGATTGTCTGCGAAGTAACAACGTAGGAGCCCAGACCTCCAACGCGTTGACAAATCCAAGGTGGAGTTTTTTCCTCGTCTTCGGCACTGGGGGCCCTCGGTGGAGGCCTTTGGAAGCCGAAAACGGCGCCAAACAACGACGCATTGAGTTTTCAGATGCGTTGGAGGTCTGGGCACCCGTGAAGGCCGGCAGCTCCTCGGTAGAAGTCGCATGTCCCTCTGTGGAAATCGCAGCCGGGTCCTCCGTGGTGGAGGCCGCCAACTCCTCGGTAGAAGTCGCTGGTCCCTCTGTGGAAATCGCAGCCGGGTCCTCCGTGGAGGTCGCCGTCGGGCCCTCGGCGGACGACCGTGGGCCTTCCGCCGTGGAGGTCGCGGGGTCCCAGGCGGAGGTCGCCAGGCCCTGCAGAGGCTCCACAGGGTCGCCCACGCCCTGGAGCTGCGATGTGGACACCTGTGCACAACCCCTGACCTCCGACGATGTAGATGCTTTCGGCCTGGACGCTTCCCCTCGACCTTGGTCTCTCGGGTCCGTGATCGGGCACGGAGGGTCATCAAAAACAGATCCAGGACGAGAAAATGCCCCCAGGGCAAGGCCTGGGACCTCCTGGGCCGCGCGCGGAGCAAAATCAGATACTCGGATGCCCATGGGCCCTGGCTTGGTGTGTACGCCATCCTGGCCGAGACCAGGAGGGTCTAAGCAGAAGACGAAGCCAGGCGAGGATGAATCGAGAATCTCTGCGATCCCGCGGCTCTGGAGGACGCCTCGGGCGCCGCGGCCTTCTCAAAGCGTTGCGGAACCGGAACGCTCCGAGAGCGTTCCAGAACGCTCTGGAACAGATTTATCTTCGTCCTGTCCTCGTCCGAATACACCATCCTGTGGCCTAAAATTGGCCCTGGCCAGACACGGTGGTTGCGCCCTCTCCTCCGACGCAGCAGCTTCTTCGCGAAGTCGGCCCGCTGTGGGGGATCTCGAGGCCCCATTGCCTGGGACCGGCGATCTATCCCGAGCTCTGGACGGCCCTGGGGCCGGGAAGCAGCCTCCAGAGGACGGCGATGCAGAGCAACAGAAAAACGCCGCCGCCCCTGGGATAACAGTGGATATCTCGACCCCTATCCCAGGCGTCGTGGGGATGTCGATTGGACCGAAACTTTGGGGCACGACCCTGGGATAGTTCTACGATGGGAGGGGGGGAGGCGTCCATCCTCGATAGGGGTGCGTTCGAATAGCCCCTCTTGGGGTGTATCCCGAGGTTTCCCGCCTGTCCTGAACGGCTTCATTGTCCATCGAAAAGTCGGGGGCTGGGGTAGAAGAATCGCCTGCGATTGGATCCAACGTCACGGAACAAATAGACCATCGTACACCAAAAGTCGACTGGAGCCCTGGTCCCCAGCTTCCTCTGCAGTCTTCTTCGAGCCGGCCCGATGCGTGTGCCGGCGGTGAGGCCCGAAACGGAGCAAGATCGCTTCGGTGCGGAACAAAAACGACGCCAGGAACTCCGTCGCGACTGTTTGCTTGTTGGGCCGCCTGGACCTGAGGATGTCTCAGCGCCCTCTGCGAGTGGAGCTGCACGACGCCGTCCTCGCGAGGCAGGGATCTGACTCCGCATCCGTCTGCGTGGGAAAGTGACGTCCTGGGACCCGAAGGGACGGTGAATATGGATACGTGTGGGCCAAATTATGCTTTCGAGATGCGGCCTCCGACAGTACACTAAACACGGCATTTCTGATACGAGTCCAATTGTAAAGCTTGTACCCGATCAAACTTGAACCTGCCAGGTGCGCCGAGGGAGGTCGCAGAGGCAACCCCCTCGTGCATCACGGCAGTGCCCGCTGGAAGGAGAACAGCCGCGTCGTGTGCAGACGTGCCATGAACTCTCGGCCGCCGCGTGCAAAGACCGCACAACAACGCGTTGCACGGTTAGTGTTTGCAAGAAAGCTGTGGGTCACACAAAGGGCACGTATGTCCATAGCCGCCACCTGTCGAGGCCCCCGAAGATGGATCCCATCCCCCGGGCAGTGGTTATGGACTCAGACATCCGACGTCCTGATTTTGTCAACTCGGGGTCCCCTGAAATCCCGACCCTTTCCCCTGGGCTGGCTGTTCCTCCCGAGCCGTCTTTTGACGGCCCAGGGGGCCTGGCGAGGGCACCCGGAGGCCGGGAACTATGAGAAGAACGCCCGTCTCAACCTTTTTCACGGCGCGAGCACGTCGGGGCATTAGAGAAACGCGAGAACCTGCATAAACCTAACTTTTGTCTGAGGTCCGCGCGGCCCGCCAGGGAGGACCCAACGCCGATCCAAGAAATCGGCGCGGACCACCAAGAGATTATAGTTATGCCATCTCTTGTTCTTCGACATGAACCCCCGCCGGGGCGCGCCAGGGGCGGCCGTGGAAACGCCGCCAGGGGGGCCCAGCGCCGATCCAACAAACCCGCGTGGACCACAAATACTTCGATTCTGTAAATGCCGTTTCTTCTTTTTCCATCTGGATCCCCGCCTCGGGGCCTTCCTGGAATCATGCCGGGTTCATATTGCAACCCTCTCGGGCTCTCATTGGAACCCGGTTGGGGTATTTTTTGGCCTCCTCTACGGATCTGGGCTCGATCTCGCGCCGATGGGGGCCCTGGGGGCGGGATGTCACTTCCAAAGGCGCGAAGCGACTAGTTTCGCCGAAAAGAGGAAGGGGGGGGGGGGGGGAGAACCGCTTCCCTGTAGGTTCGATCCCCGCCTCGGGACCCTCCCGCCCGCGCTGCAGGGCCTCCCGCTGGACCGCGGGGCGGGGCCACAGCGCCCAGCTGGCCGCGGCCGCGAGCACCAGGGCGCCCGCCAGGGCGGCTGAGAGCCTCGCAGGTTCGCGGGCTCTGGATCGCATCGCGAGATCTTATCGGGACAGCGAATCGTCCCGAATCGCATCGAAATCGTAGAAACAGCTCCTCGAGCGGAGCGCCACGTCCATCGAGTCGAGTCGAACCAAACGTCGATCGAAATCGCGGAATCGTCCTGTCGAGCGAATCGTCTTGAACCGGAGCGAGAACCGTAAATCTCCGACGGTATGGGATCCTTCAATCCGGGTGGCCATCCACTATTTCGCAGCCTCCCGGGCCCGCGATCGGGCTCCAGGGCCAGCAAGAACGGATCTGGGGCTCAAAGCATGCCTCCAGCGAGGGGGGTCGGGACCTCCCGGGGCCGCGGATTCAAAAACACTCTAAGCACATTTCGGAGAATGCCAAGGGAATACAGCCGAACATCTGATAAACAAATATCGCTTGAGAAATCTTGGCCAGCGCCCCGGAAGCTTCTTGAAACAAGCCTGGGTCACTGTCTGCCGTTCGTGATAAAAAGGCGACCGTGCTCAAGAAACTAAGCCATTCCGGCAAGTTGGGTAAGAAACGCCGGCGCGCCTTTTCGGGAGGAGGTTTCTGGATCAGATGCTCGACTGTAGTTTCGTCCGCACCGACACAAACCGCCCCGAATCCAATCGTCCTGGAGCATCCCGAATCGCTGCGCCTGGGCGCGCCTGGCCCTCGACGGGGCCGGCGAATCGCATCGGATCGGATCCGCGGCCCTTGCCCATACTAGCCGTGGAGCATGTCGAAGCGTGGCGAACTTGTCGGTTGGACAACGACCGATTGGATGAATGACGCCGCATGCGCCGTGGAGAAAAAAACACGAAGGACTGAAAATGCACTGCGCCAGGGGGGCTCAATGAACGGGACCATGACGATATAATTCTTCACCGCGCAAATAACGCGAACATTCCTTGTGCGATCCGCGTGGGGCGCCCCCCTGCCGCGCATTGGTCGGAGCGATCTGTCACCGCAGCCGCGTGCGACAGCAAGGCCATCAATGCAAGATAATGGCCGTTCTCAATGGCGCAGGCGCGCACTTCGCCCGCGAATCCTTGGAGCAGACCGATGTCACCAACATCATGCTAGGCACAACAGACGCCGCCCCAGGCAATTGCGACGCGTTCCCCGCCAGGGAGTCGCCGACCTTGCGATTCTCCAGGGGGCCCACGTGGGCATTGGCCAAGGAAGACAAGCATGAAACTTCAAACGACCTTGCGTTTCGAATCGCCCTCGGGACATGCTGCACCATCAAGCGCAAACGCTCGCCACAGAAGTGCGGGTTCCCACCGGTCGGCCACGTCGAACATCATAGCCTTTTTCGATATGATGCGTAGTCGCCGTGCGCGTCGATGCGCGTCCGCATACGCTCCGCGCGGGTTCTCTTAGCAATGCCATCGCTGCGGGCAAGCTCGCGCGCCCCTGCCTCGAGCGTCTTGCGCCCAGCTTGAAACGGGGGCTCTTGTCTTTGGAATTGCGCGTTCGCCGCGCCGAGAAGACGCAGCTCTGCCACGCGCGGCGACGCAGAGACCTTGGCCTTGTCCTCGCTGGGGGCCCGAAGCGCGTCAACTGCCCTGGGCCCCTGGCTCGGCGTCGCCCCTCGCCCGCGCTGGGGGGCCAAACGCAAGCGCCCATCCTGCAGGGCGGGCCCGGCACTGTCGAAACAAATGTCGCGGGTCGCGAAGCGCGCTCGCGCCGACTGACGCGCGCGGTGAACGCGCCCTCTTGCAGCGCCGCGCGGGCCCGATCGGAGCCAGCGCTGCCCGCGACGTCCGCGCGACAGCGTAGGTCAGGGTCCACCAGAGCACCGCGGAGCTTGAACTTCACCCGAACGTCGTGGTAGATTTTTAAAGCGGCCCCCCGACGGCGTCGCCGCGGCCCGCCGAGAACGCGCCTCGTTGACATAATCGGCGGCGAAGATCGCGCCCACGCTGTCGCGCAAACGAACCCGCGTCTGATCGGCACAAGTAGCGTCAACGAAAAAAAGCGCGCCACAGCGTCGCAATCGCGGCCTGGAACGGTTTGAACCCCTGCCGATCGTCGACGCGAGATGGCCACCGGAATCCGCGATTCTGCGTTCGAGGGGTGCCGCCGTGAGCGCGCGCCTGCCGCCGACGTCGCTAGGGGCGCCTGCCGTCGCAAGGCCATTCGGCCCCAGCGCGCGCAATCTCCGGCGCTGTCTAACCATGGCGCCCTGTGGCCGCTCGATTTGATCGAACGAGCCGCGGCGAAAAATCACGGGTGCAACCCGCGCGCCGCCGCTGTGAATGTCGCGCCCCCCCAGTCTCAAGCACGCGCGAGATAAGTTCATATTCTTCGCGGGGTTCGCCACGTTAAACAAGCCAAACTCGCCATGCCCTGCAGCGAAGGTCCACGGATTCGCCTGTCCCAGTTCGCCCCGAGACTGCGCGGCCGCGGAGAAATGCCGCGACGCCCGGGCCCTGACGCCATCATGGCGAGCCGCCTGCATGCTCGGCCAGGGGCCTCTTCCGGGCCCCGCCGCTCGCTGGCGGCGCTGGCGGCGCGCGGCGGACAGATTCGAGCCCGGTGCGGCTGCGCTGCCAGTTTGCGCTGTCGCTCGCCTCGGCCAGCGAGTGAGCCTCCGCCCTGCAGAACGCACTGGGGGCATCGGCGAGCCCCTCCTGCGCCGCCTTCCCGCGATGGGGGAGGGGCCTCTGCAGCGCGCCCCGCGCCCGAGGCGATCGAGGTCGACTACCTTGTCTTCGTCATCGTCCTCCTCTTCGTGGCGGATTAGACATTGATTCCTTTTGCGGCGGATTGCATTTTTTTTGCAGCGGGTAACGAACTATATATTGATTCCTTGTGTTGCGGATTACACATTGATTCCTTGGTGGCGGATTACATCTTGATTCCTTTTGTGGCGGATTGCAAAAGGAGTCCTTCTGTGGCGGATTGCAAATGGAATGGTCCTTTTGTAGAGGATTACAAATTGATTCCTTTGTGGCGGATTGCAAAGGGAATCCTTTTGTTGCGAATTACAAAGGGAATCGTTTTGTGGTGGATTACACATTGGTTCCTTTTGTGGCGGATTGCAAAGGGGATCCTTTTGTGGTGACTTACACAGGGAATCCTTTTGTGGCGGATTACAAATTTATTCCTTTTGTGGCGGATTACAAAGGAAATCCTTTTGTGGCGAATTACAAAGGGAATCCATCTGTGGCGGATTACAATTTGATTCCTTTTGTGGCGGATCACAAAAAGGGAACCCTTTGGTGGCGGATTACAAAGGAAATCCTATTGTGGCGAATTACAAAGGGAATCCTTTTGTGGCGGATTACACATTGATTCCTTCTGTAGCGGATTACAAAAAAAATGTGGCGAATTACAAAAGGAATCCTTTTGTGGGGATCTTGAGCGGTCTTGACATGCGTAAGGTTCCCAGGATTCATAATTTGTCTAAATTTTCTAAACTTTCTAAATTTCTTAAGTAAGAAAACCAGGTTTCGCCTGAGACCCCCTCACAATTTTTATAATTCCGTTGAGCTTGGCTGCTGTAGCATCCGGAAGGAGTCTCAAGCGAAGCTGTGTTTTTCTGTGCGAAATCAATGTACAAACAATGAAACAGCAGGTTTCGCTTGAGACTCCCTCCGGATTTTATAGCAGCCAAGCTCAATGGAATTATAAAATTCTGAGAGAGTCTCAAGCGAAACCTGGTTTTCTTATTGATTTTTTAAATAGAAAAATACACAATTTTGAAAATGTTTAAATCCAGGGAACCTCACACAAGCCCAGACCGCTCAAGATCCCCACGCAAAGATTCCCTTTGTAATTCGCCACAAAAGGGTTTCCTTTGTAATCCGCCACGAACGGAATCAATGTGTAATCCGCCACAAAAGGATTGCCTTGGTAATTCTCAATTAAAAAGATTCCCTGTGTAATCTGCTACAAAAGGAATCAATATGTAATCCTCTACGAAAGGATTTCCTTTGTAATCCGCCGCAAAAGGAATCAATGTGCAAATCCGCAACAAAGGAATCAATGTGTAATCCGTTACAAAAGGATTCCATTTATAATCCGCCACAGAAGGACTCCTTTTGCAATTCGCCACAAAAGGAATCAAGATGTAATCCGCCACCAAGGAATCAATGTGCAATCCGCCACCAAAGGAATCAATGTGCAATCCGCAATTGGATTCCCCCACGAAAGAAAACAGTTTATAATCCGCCACAAAAGGAATCCATTTGTAATCCACCACAAAAGGAATCCCTTTGCAATCCACCACGCATCCTCCTCCTCGCCATCCTCCCGTGGACTCAAAACATGGTTCTGTTGGGCGGAGATATTGTCTGACGTTTCTAATGCAATCAAACGGACATGCGGCCAGGTTGAAATCGCGAGTTGTTTTCAGATGCGACGGCTAGCACGAGCACGCGCGCGCAAGCTGTGAACGAGCAGTGACGCCTACATCGCAGATTCCCCCGTCTCCTCCTCCTCGCCATCCTCCCCCCTCCTCCCCCCTCCTCCTCCTCTTCTCCTCCTCCCTCCTCCTCCTCATCCTCCTCGTCCTCCTCGCTGCCGTCGCCGCGGCCCCCGCCCTCCTTGCCCCCCCCCCCCCCCCATTTTCCAACTCCTCGTCGTTCGCTTAATTTTCCTCGGCCTCACCTCCGCATTTCACCCCGCCCTCGCCTCCTCCCTCCTCTCTCCTCCTTCACCCCAAGTTCCCCCTTCCCCGCCGCCACCCCAGCTCCCTCCCCCGTCCTCTTCTGGCATCACTGATCCCTCCTCGCCTCCTCCCTTCCCCCCCCCTCCCCGCCCCGCAGGACCTTCCCCCGTAATCCCAGTTCCCCTCCTCCGCTTGCGCCCTGCCACCTCCCTCCTGCATCCCGCCTCCCCATCCTCCCCCATCCGCTCCCTTCACGTCGGTTTTACCATATATATATATATATATATATATATAATATATATATATATATATATATATGTATAGACACATATGTTTCATGATATATATATATATATATATATATATCCTTCACGCGTAATTGCACGCACGCGCGTACTTCTTGCAAGTTCAGGCATCCACGCAAACGCACGCACACAGACGCACGTGCACGCAAGGGAGGAAAGAGGGTGAGAGGGAGGGGAGGGGGGGAAGGGATGGGGGATGATAATAATGCGTGTGAAGGGCGTTCGTGAGGGAGGAATGGGTGGGCGGAGGGGGGGACATGGTGCCCCCCCACTACCATGTTTCTCCGTTTCTACATTGACCACCCGCCCCCCCCCAACTTCCCCCCGCTCTCCCGCGCCCTCTCCCCCCGCGCCGCCACCGCGCTAATATGGCGAAATATGGGAAATAGGGCTAAATGGGGGGCGGGAAGGGAACGGCGAAATATGGGAAATGGGAGTAGGAGAGGAGGTGGCGGCGGCGGTGGTGGCGGATCTGCCGTAAAAGGAATCAATGTGTAAATCCGCCACGAAAGGAATCATTTCGCAAATCCGCCCCCAAAGGATTCAATTTGCGAATCCGCAACAGAGAGAGAGAGAGAGGGGGGATAAAGAGGTAGAGAGAAAGAGAGAGAGAGAGAGAGAGGGAGAGAGAGAGAGAGAGAGAGAGAGAGAGAGAGAGAGAGAGAGAGAGAAAGAAGAAAGAGAAAGAGAAAGAAAGAGAAAGAGAAAGAGAAAGAGAGAGAGAGAGAGAGAAAACAAAACAAAAAAAAAAGAGAGAGAGAGAGAGAGAGAGAGAGAGAGAGATAGAGAGAGAGAGAGAGAGAGAGAGAGAGAGAGAGAGAGAGTGGGGGAGAAAGAAAGGGCAGAGAGAGAGAGAGAGAGCCGCCATTAGAAATGGCCAAGAGAGTGGCCCACGGGAACCCCACGGCAAAAAAAAAAAAACACCAGCGGCGCGCGCCAGAAAAGGGCGTCGCAAACCGCTGGAACAAGGAACAGCGCAAAGCGCTGGAACGGGAACGGCGCAAAACGCAGGGCCAGCGCAGGACGACGAAGCCTTGGGATGGGGGGGCGGAACAGCGCAGGAACAGCGCGCAGCGCTTCAACGAGGGAAAGGCGATAACCTCAGATGCGAGGATCTAAGAGCTAGGGGGCGAGACGGCGCGCCCAATGAAAGAGGGGCCCTTCGCGCCGGGGGTGGAAGGGAGCGGCGCGGGGCGGGGCGGGGGGCCAGCGCGCGCGCGGGGGGGGCGGGGCGGGGGGGGGGCGGGCGCGCAGATATCCACGGCGCGCGCGAAGCGAATGCAGCGGTGCGAAGGGGGAGAGGGGGCGCTAGAGCGATATGTATGCAGTGGAAGATATCTCGAGCGTCTACAGCGTCGCACGCCATGCCTCGCGCCGTGGGCGGTCGCTAGACCCACGCGATTTCGACATATGCACGCGCGTGTGCATGCGCGCGCATTCGTGGGTCAGCGCGTCTGCATAAAGAATGCGGCCTGGAACCTTCCGCGTCGGCGCGCGCGATTGGAAGTCGCCCCCCCCCCCCCCCCGCCCCCCGCCCCCCGGCTTCAGAGCGAGGGCTCGAATATTTCGAGACCTTGGATGAGGACTCGATAGAATGCTGCAATCTTATCAGCGCCCAGCTGGCGCGGCTCGTTGCTGGCAGACCCCGTCATCTGAAGGTAGCAACCCGACGCGGGCCACCAGCGACGTCGCCGCGGGGTCGGCCCCGAATGCTGGCGAGCACACTCGAATGGCCCACTCCTGTATCTGCCCGAACTGCAAGTTTACTATCGACGTCTCCTTCTCTGCCTCGGCGCCCAGCGCAGTCGCCTCCTCGGGGGGGGGGAAGGCGCGCCCATCCATCCGATCCCTCCTCTTCCTCATTCTTTCCTGACTCATCCCGGGCCCCCATCCAGCACCCGCCCCCGCTCGCTCCTCAAGCGCGAGGGGTCGCTGCGTGGGCTTCTGATCCCTTGATCTCTGGCGCGTCGGCCTATGGCCCATGGCGTCGCAGCAGCCAAGGCGGCCGCGTCGCTGGCGGCCTGGAGTTCCTCCACGACCACCTTGGACTCCTCCGTCTGGAACGCGGGGGCGCGAGCGATTCCGGGTTGCGCCGACGCTTCGACTCAGTTCTGAAAAGGCTGATCGACCACCGTCTTGATTCTCCATGGTAGAACTCCCCCTCTTCTCCTTGCGGTTCGAACAAGAGTCCGATGACAACTGGCCCGAAGATGAATCGCAGTCGAAAGGATCTCCCCCCGCTCTCCCCTTCGGCTGGATCCGCCGCCGAGGCGATGGACGCGCTGGCCGAACTCGCGCAAAAATTGCCAACTTGGTCGCTTCGTCGCCCCTCTGGCGCCCCTTGCTTCCCACGAACCATCTTGCCCGCGGTGGCATGCGCGCTGCGCGCGAGCCGTGTCGCGCCGTCCGAGGACACTTTCCACCTGTTTATCGCTCTCGAGCGCCGGTGTCAGGTTGTCTCCCGCGGCGAAACAATTGCGCCCCCAGACTGAAAGCGGCATGAACGACCGCCCCCCGCGCCGGCTTCGCCCGTGATCTTGCGACGCAGTGGTTCGCCGGCAGAATCGCCATCTTCGCGCGCGACGCATCCGGGCGCGCGCGCGCGCGTCGCAGGGACGCAGCGGGCGAAAAACCGAGAGCGCACCCGGTGCAGGAGGGGCTTCAACCAGAATGGCGACCGCGCAAATAAATTCTCGCGCGCTTTGCCGACCAGAGCGACGCGGCACCGAAGACCCCCCCCCACGAGCAGGAGAGGCTGACGAGCTGCCCGGGCAGCCCGTCGGGCGGCTGGAAGAGGCCCGAGGGCGAGCGGCCCGAGGTGGCGAAAAGCCCCCGTGGGGGGCGACGCCGCGGCCGCGGCGGCAAGGGCAACGGCGGCGGGGGCGCAGAAATGCAAATCTGAGGGCAAGGGCAAGGGCAATGGCAAGGAGGGGCGCGATGACGCGGAGAGGGCCGAGCCTGAGGCGGCGCCCAAAAGGCGGGGGCAAGAAGGGCACTGCAAGAAGGAAGGCGACGACGCGGAGATGGGCGAGCCCCGGGCGGAGCCCCAGGGCAAGGGCAAGGGCAAGGGTGAACCCGCGGAGGAAGCCAAGCGCCAGGGGCATCGGCGCGCCCTCTTGGCCGCAGAGGAGCGGCCATGGCACGCCGCCCGGCTCTGCGCGGCGCGCGACGCGCGGAGGCCAGGCGTCCAAATTTGGAATGCCCCTGCGTCGAGCGACGGCCCGAGCGCGATCGGGCACCAGATGCGCAGCCACGCGGGCTGCGCTTCTACCAAGCACCGCCGCCGAGGCCAAGCATTTCTTCCGCGGCGCGCCAGACGGGGCCAAGGCGGCCGAGACTCGCCTCGCTGCCGAGGCCACCTGGACAAGCACAAAATAAATAAGCATTTGTTCGGCGGATGACGCGCGCGTAATCGGGGGGAGGCCGCCGCGGCGCTCGAGAGCGACTCCCTGGTCGAGCCGCCGCCGGCAGCTGCACTGCTGCTCGAGCCCCGAGGGCCCAGACAGCGCGCCCCGCTCCAAATCGCGAAATGCCGCGCGCAGGCGGTTCGAAGCGGAAGTGGGCAGGGATCGGATTGCGGCGCAATGCGCGCCCTCTGACGGAAAATCACGTGGATGCGAACCGCAAGGTTGAACTTATTGCAATTGCGTTGCGAATGCAGTCCGGCATGTTGAACTTATAATTTAATGTGTTTGCCAACATACAATGCGCACATCTTGGAACTGCGATCTTTACCAACTCGACAAGATGAAACACATGAACCTATTAACCCCAACAACTGCACGCCGGCATATCCACCACGTCTGCAATGTCCTGTTGTCCTTCGTCTACGGGCCCTCCAAAACTTCTGAACATTTCCCTCGGGGCCGCTTTTTATCGCGAGTCGTTTCTGTCGACGGTCCTTGGGCCCGATGGGTTATAAGCAGATGCCACAATGGGTTGTATCTGGTCCGATTTCACGTATGAGCCATCCGCTTGTACCTCCCCTACCCACTCAGCCGCCCCAGCGGTCATCCCAGTAGCACTACACGGGCACTAAATGGCTGTTAGCGGGAGCTCGCGTTCTGGAACGCTCTGTAACGATGCATCCCGATCCGAAGCCTGCCTGATTACCTGCTGGCCGAGCGGGTGAGTGAACTCCGACGGCGCGAAAAGTCGCAATATGGCGACAAATGGCGCCTAGAGCCCCGGACCCAAAGTTTCTGATTCATTTCAAGATTCGGATGGATCTGTGAAGGTCCTTGGGCCCGCAATCGGGCGCAAACGCCCGGCGCAAACAAAATGAGACGCCAAGACTTCTGGGAACGAAACACACGCGAAACGGAGAAACGAAACGGAGACAACGCTGGAACGAAACTGGAACGACACTCGAACGATACCGAACGACATTGGAACGAAAATGGAACGCCCCATCGCTGCGGCTATTGAACTAGAGTGAAACGAAAACCACACAGTTTCCTTAGACATCTCGAGGGCCCGGGGACCTTACACCGAACCGATCCTACGCCTTCACGGTTGACCAAACATCCAGCGCCTCGATTATTTCAAGACGCGGCCCCCGACCTCTCGACCACCTCCCCAAGACCATCTTGTCATCCCGAGTTGTTTTGTTCACGGTCCTGAAGGCTGGTAAGGGTCCCGAAAGGCCCAAAACTATGAAACACGTCTGTTTCGATGTTTTCGAGGGGCCAGGATATTGAGCAGGGACCGACCGTCCCGGCATTCCGATAGGCCTACCACGAAATGTTCTTAGAACCCAAACATGTTCTAATCACACAAGAACAATGTTCTTAGATCATAAACCCGATGTGTTCAAACAAGACTGTCCCAGCCAGAACTGTTCTAAGAACATCTCGTGGAAACCACAAAAGGCTCTTAGAACATTCGCCACTGCTTGAGGATGTCAGGGTACCTGCAGGCCGAAGGGGCTATCGGGCCTGGCGCGCCAGGCCCCGCGCCCGCCGGCGGCCCCGCCGTCCAGGCCCGCCGCCGCGCAGCGCAGGACGCCGTAGGCCGGGCTGTTGCCAGAGGGCGGGGGCGTTTGCATTCGGCGGGGCACGCGCGGGCGGATCTTCCGTTGAGATGACCGCGGCGGATGCTAAGGGGATAGGGGGGTTAGAGGTGGATGCCAAGGCGGGTCTATCTGGCGCAACCTAGATGAGAAGTGGGCTACGAATGCCCTGGGGGGTTAGCTACTTGGTGGGCGGCGCCAACTCAGCCTGGCTAGTTAACTCCACTAGACCACCAAGGGCACGTGCGAGCCACTGATGAGCTGGGTCAAGCCCCTACCCCCTTCGCATCCGCCGCGGTCATCTCAGCGCCCGTGTCGGGCCAGACGAGCAGAGGCCTCAGACGTCTCAGGAGGGCAGGTGGAGGCAGAGGTATTTGCTCTTCGGGAGGCCCTCTCGTCGCCACGGCTGGACGCGCCTGCGTGCAGCGAGGCATGCGCGGGCGGGGCTCCGGCGTCGGGCCGGACACTCTGGTATCCGTGGAAGCGCCGCTCCAGGCCTCCGGGTTTTCCCGGGGAAGCTTCGAGGTTCGAGGTTGTCGAGCGTTTGCGTCACTCCTCGGCGGCTTTCCAGGACGCTTCGGGATGCTCTTTCGTCGAGAGCCTTCCGGGTGTGCCCAGGTCGCCCCGGGCGGCCGCCGGAGGCCCGGGCTATGAACCGAAAGCCAGACGAACGACGAACGTCAGAGGACGACAGGTTGAGACAACGGTGACTGGCCCCTGGGGGGGACCCCTCGTCGGCACGGCCGGACGCAGCTCGGACAACGGGAGGGATCCGGGCATCGGTTTGGAGCTGCCGTCGTCTTTTGCCCCAAGCACCCTGGCGGGCCATTTTTTCGATCCGGGCATTTCCTGGAATTGGGCCTCCATGCCCCCCGTGGTCGGGCCCTGGGGCCATCAAGAGCGGATCGGGGGCAAAAAACTACCCCCCCAGGGAAGGGGTCGAGAGTTCTGGGGCCGAGCACTGAAAAAAACAATGCGCCCGACGGCTGGGTCTTCAACAGACCTCCATGGGGGAGGTTTTTCGCAATGTGATGGGCCTCTTGGTGGCCGTGTGTTCGGACTCTGAGGCCGTCAACAAGCGGCACGGCATGAACTACCAAGCCACGGGAAGTTGTCTAGAAATATCTATTGGGACGTCCGCGGCGGATGCAAGGGATATAGGGGTTAGTGGAAGTTAAGGTGAGTTATATCTGGCACCGCCTGTATTAGAAATTGGTTACGAGTGCCGTAAGCGTTTCTGAGGGGCTCAGTAACTCAGCTAAATGGGCGGAGCCCACTTAGCCCGGATAGTGAACTCCCCTAAACCACTTAGGGCATCTGCAATCAACTTACGCATAAGCCAGGGTTGGCCAGACATAGCGCACCTTAGCATCCACATCTAGCCCCGTCATCCCCTTAGCAGCCGCCGCGTTCATCTCAGTATTTCAGGGCCCCGCGCTGGAAAATCAAAGACATCGGAGGCCCAGGATGGGGGGAGAACCGCAAAGGGCGGGTTCGCGAGATGTTTTCCCGGAGCAGGTCTCCCCGCCGTCTCCCAAACTACGCACGAGGCGCCAGTACTATCAAGGAGTGCGCCCGTCGGCGGGGCCGAACTGCACGCAGCAGATTTCGACCCCCCCCTCCGTCCCAAAGATCCGGCGTCTCGATTTGTTCGAGACACGGGCACCCGACCTCTCGATCCCTTCCCCGGCGCCAGTTCCTCATCCCGAGTCGTCCTTTTACGGTCCCGAGGCCTGGCGAGGGCCACGGGAGGCCGAAAACGATGAAAAACATTCTCCTCGGCCTTTTAGAGACGCTGGCGATCTTGGCTTCACCTTTCCCTTGCAGTCCCCTCCCCTCTGTCCTCCAGCGCGACCCTGGCGTCGCGGCGCGCCGCCAGGCCCGGCTTGAGCCGTCTTGTGCAGATGCGGCAGAGGCGCCCCCACGCCCCCCGGACACCCGCGCGGATCGCTCTTGAACTCGGCCTCTTGCGGCTGCACCCCTGTCCCCAGACCTCCGCCGTCAATTTTCACGACGTCGACCCTCAGAGGTTTCGACACATTCCCCGGGACCAGCTTTTCATCATATCGAATCGTGCGCTGACGGTCCCAGGGCCCGGCGAGGGCCCCCAGAGGCCGAACGTAGCCCAAAGCCTCATGAGGCTGTGATTTCCTCATCTCCCGACGGGGCCTGGATCGTGTGCTCCGTCCACGTGCCACGTGGGTCTCGAGCCTGGCATCTCGATCTCCACCCTGGCGCTTTCCCCGCCTTCGGCCTCCGGGCGGCAAGGTTTTGGGCCCCGCGGGGCCACCAGAAATGGTCCGAGGCGACGGGCGGTTCTAGTGGAGAGGGTCGTGGAAAGAGGGAAGGCTCGCGCTCGCGGATCGAGAAGGAGGATCTAGGAGGAGGATCGAGGATCCAAGAGGAGGAGGAGGATGCCCCGCAAGAAAAGAAATTACACAGCGGGGGCCGTGGCCCTGCGCCGCGAGGGCGCCGCCGGGCGCAGGCCTGAGCCGTGAGGGCGGTCGAGTGCGACCGCAGATTGCGCCGGCCTGTCAGCTGGTGCCTCCGCCGGGGCCGCACCCAGAGGTCCGAGGTCCCCAGACCTCCGGCGAAATGTTTTTGTTCGATCGGGGCGTTTTTCCTTGACGCTCACTTCGGCCTCCGAGGCCCGTTACTGGGCCCTGGAACCATCAAAACTGATCCAAGAGTGAAAAAAGACGGATCCTAGAGGAAAAAAGAATGCAGGGGTCGGGAGCTCTGGGGCCACGGATTGAACACATCATATTCTTAGAGGAGGTCCCGCTTTCGCTATTTCTACTGCACGGGATCCCCAGGAGCCCCCACTCTTTTCCAAATGCCAGTCATCATCCCAAGGTTTTTTTGTGGCGGTCCTGGGGCCTGGCGAGGGCCCCCAGTCGGCAAGGTTTTTACCTGACAGCGAAGACTGATAGGTTTCTAATAGGGTCAAAAGAGAGCATCATGACGCCCCAAGGGGGTCTGGGCGGGATCCGGGGGAGGATGACGGGGACTCTTTTTTAGCTAACAGTTGCACACTTCGTGGTCTTCGAGGTCCCAGAACTCCATTCCCGGGCCACATTCTGAATGCCCGGAGCCAACTGTAGGCCATTTCGTGCTCTTCGAGTTCCCAGAACTCCATTCCCGGGCCACATTTTGAATGCCCAACTGTAGGCCACTTCGTGCTCTTCGAGTTCCCAAAACTCCATTCCCGGGCCACATTTTAAATGCCCGGAGCCGACTGTAGGCCACTTCGTGCTCTTCGAGTTCCCAGTTCCCAGAACTCCATTCCCGGGCCACATTTTGAATGCCCGGAGCCAGCTGTAGGCCACTTCGTGTTCTTCGAGTTCCCAGAACTCCATTCCTGGGCATGATTTTGAATGCTGAGGCAGGCTGATGCTGAGGCTGAGGCAGGCTGAGGCTGAGGCAGGCTGAGGCTGAGGCCGAGGCTGAAGGCAGACTGAGGCTGAGGCTGAAGCAGGCTGAGGCTGAGGCTGAGGCAGGCTGAGGCTGAGGCTGAGGCAGGCTGATGCTGAGGCAGGCTGAGGCTGAGGCTGAGGCTGAGGCTGAGGCAGGCTGAGGCTGAGGCTGAGGCAGGCTGAGGCTGAGGCCGAGGCTGAAGGCAGACTGAGGCTGAGGCTGAAGCAGGCTGAGGCTGAGGCTGAGGCAGGCTGAGGCTGAGGCTGAGGCTGAGGCTGAGGCAGGCTGAGGCTGAGGCTGAGGCTGATGCAGGCTGAGGCTGAGGCAGGCTGAGGCTGAGGCCGAGGCTGAAGGCTGAGGCTGAGGCTGAGGCTGAGGCTGAAGGCTGAGGCTGAGGCTGAGGCTGAGGCTGCAGGCTGAGGCTGAGGCTGAGGCAGGCTGATGCTGAGGCTGAGGCTGAGGCTGAGGCTGAGGCTGATGCAGGCTGAGGCTGAGGCAGGCTGAGGCTGAGGACGAGGCTGAAGGCAGACTGAGGCTGAGGCTGAAGCAGGCTGAGGCTGAGGCTGAGGCAGGCTGAGGCTGAGGCAGGCTGAGGCTGAGGCTGAGGCTGAGGCAGGCTGAGGCTGAGGCTGAGGCTGAGGCAGGCTGAGGCTGAGGCAGGCTGAGGCTGAGGCCGAGGCTGCAGGCAGACTGAGGCTGAGGCTGAAGCAGGCTGAGGCTGAGGCTGAGGCAGGCTGAGGCTGAGGCTGAGGCAGGCTGATGCTGAAGGCAGGCTGAGGCTGAGGCTGAGGCTGAGGCTGCAGGCTGAGGCTGAGGCAGGCTGAGGCTGAGGCCGAGGCTGAAGGCAGACTGAGGCTGAGGCTGAAGCAGGCTGAGGCTGAGGCTGAGGCTGAGGCAGGCTGAGGCTGAGGCTGAGGCAGGCTGATGCTGAGGCAGGCTGAGGCTGAGGCTGAGGTGCAGGCTGAGGCTGAGGCAGGCTGAGGCTGAGGCCGAGGCTGAAGGCAGACTGAGGCTGAGGCTGAAGCAGGCTGAGGCTGAGGCTGAGGCAGGCTGAGGCTGAGGCTGAGGCAGGCTGATGCTGAGGCAGGCTGAGGCTGAGGCTGAGGCTGATGCAGGCTGAGGCTGAGGCAGGCTGAGGCTGAGGCCGAGGCTGAAGGCAGACTGAGGCTGAGGCTGAAGCAGGCTGAGGCTGAGGCTGAGGCAGGCTGAGGCTGATGCAGGCTGAGGCTGAGGCAGGCTGAGGCAGGCTGAGGCTGATGCAGGCTGAGGCTGCAGGCTGAGGCTGAGGCTGAGGCTGAGGCTGCAGGCTGAGGCTGAGGCTGAGGCAGGCTGAGGCTGAGGCTGAGGCAGGCTGAGGCTGAGGCTGCATGACTGAGGCTGAGGCTGAGGCTGAGGCTGCAGGCTGAGGCTGAGGCTGAGGCTGAGGCTGAGGCAGGCTGAGGCTGAGGCAGGCTGAGGCTGAGGCTGAGGCTGAGGCTGAGGCTGAGGCTGAGGCTGAGGCAGGCTGAGGCTGAGGCTGAGGCAGGCTGAGGCTGAGGCTGAGGCTGAGCTGCAGGCTGAGGCTGAGGCAGGCTGAGGCTGAGGGACTGAGGCTGAGGCAGCAGCTGAGGCTGAGGGCT